TCCAGCCATTCCCCCAGCCTGTGCTGGGGTTGCGCTGACCCATGTGCAGGACCTTGCCCTTGGCCTTGTTGAACTCCATGAGGTTGACACAGTTCCAGCTCTCCAGCCTGTCCAGGTCCCTGTGGATGGCATGGATATTTAAACATATACTCAGTTTTCCAAGGTTTTCCCCTTTAGTCCCGTGCCTGGCTACTTTCTGTCTGTCAGAGGGACTGTTTATCTCATGGATCTCTTCACCGTTCCTTCTTTCCATGTGCTTCATCTGTTGTAGGTCTGTAGGTAGCGTAAGCGCATTGGGTGTATAGTTACACAGTCCCCTCAAATCTCTGTCTCAGTCCTTTAGACGTACCGTCTCGAGGTGGCTTACTTCCAAACTGAGTTGGGAAGAAGCAAGGAAAGCATCTTAATTCCTGACTCTTCTGTGTATCCTCTTCCTACTTCTGTTATGTTTTCATAGCAGTGCAGCTAGGAGCTTTGGACTTTCTTTCCAGCTTTCCCTTGCTCCATGTGGGCTTTTCTCTCCTGCTTGCCTCTTTTCAGTTCTGTCTGCCTATTCCAACTCGCTCTGGCAGACACGTTACTAGTAATAAGGTGTGTTTGTTGACAGATCAGAATCTGAACTTTGTCCACTTTGGTTCATTTTTTTGCAGAAAGGCTGTTTCAGCAGACTCGGGTTAATCGTTCCTTTCTGTCTTGTCAAAACTCGTTCATTCTGTGTGTTTATTCTGCTAGAAACGATGGTGACAGGAAAGAAAACCAGTCCCCAAGGCGTCGTTCCAGCTCTTCCAGTCCCAGTCCCAGCCCAAGTCCCAGTCCCAGGCGTTCGAGGCTCTCGGGCTCCAGCTATGTTCGCCGATCGCGATCGAGATCCAGGAGCCCGTGCCGCTTCAGGCCAACAAGGGCAAGAAGTCGAAGCCCGTGGCAGTCGCGACGGTTTAGCTCCAGATACAGGTCGAGGTCACCGCAGCGATCGAGATACACGCTGAGAAGCAGTCCGCGGCGTCACAGGACTCCCAGTAGTGACCGGTCATCGAGGAGGAGGTCGACCCGATCTCGAGGTAAAGGGTGGATGCGTGCTGCCGGATTGAAACTTCCTTTGGTTTCAGGACAGCTGAGTTGAAATCAAGAGGTTAATTAGTCCCTGTGTCACTGAAGTAGGCGCTTTTCATAGCGAAATTCTGTTCCTAAAAGCCACTTTGCCTTTTGCTGTCGCTTTGAGCGTTCTGAAAGGCCTGAAGTCGGCCTTACGTAGTGGCTGGCTTGGTTGATGCTGTATCAGATCATTACAGAATAATGGAAACCGAGTTTGTGGGGCAAAGAGCAAGACAGGGAAGGACACAGAATTTAGCGAGGCATCCAGACGTAAGTGCTGCTGTCTGTCAGTATGTGAGAGGAGGATCAAAGCCTTGGAAACGTCTTTCTTAAAATCCCTGAATTACAAAATTAAGCAATCCTTTTACTCCAGCCCATAGGGATTTATGCAGGTGGTGTTGTCAGGATAAGACGGTGCAGATAATCTGGAGGTTTATTACTGTTTGTAGGCCGCCTCTGCTAGAGGGTGATTAGGGGTCTCCGACTTCACGACTCCCGTGACCGAATCGGTAGTGGGTGGTGAAACTCCAGCTGTAGAATCCCAAAGAGCAGTATGTGGAAGTTGTCTTTTAAAACCAAGTGAACAACACCCCGTTGGCTTTCCCTTCTGCTCACAGACAGAAAGGCAGCTCTGGAGGCAGTAAGGAAAAGTTTGGGACCTGGCTTTGTAGCAGAGTTCAGTAAACATAGGTTGCTTCAGACAGCTGGGCAAAGATCTTTGGGATCGGGAAAATCACCACCCTCTCGTGGTCTTTTAGGGAGGACGCCCAGAAGTACGAAGAAGTCAGCGAAAACAAGCTCTTCTTCAAAGTCCTCGAAGAAAGACCTGCCTTCCGTCTCTGGGTCAAGCTCGTCATCTCCCGAAAAGGATGAGTTAGCCCAAAGCAATGAAATGGAAGAGGAGGAGGAAGACGTATCGGCAGGAACCAGTGGACCTTCTCCTGCTCCTTACAACAGAGTGAGTTCTGAATGGTTGTTCTGGCTGTGGTTTCAAGGATTTGGTTAGTGTCGCTTTTCAGGGGGGATACTCGTGGGAAGATCACCCATCCCGTTTGCTGATCCGAGGGGGTAGATAGCACCAGCTCAGCACAAAGACGTACCGGCTGCCGGGGAGCAGGGAAAACTACGCAGCAATGGATGGGGAAGCAAAACCTTGCGAGTGCTCTCCAGCGGCAGAAAGAGATGCCCGTTAAATTCGGGTCCTGTTCACTGGGCACTTGTGTCAGCTGCGAGTGATGAGCTCCATCAGAAGGGTGGGAGGCAGAAGGTGTTCGTTGTGCCCTCTCAAGGAAAAAAGATGAGGCATAGAAATTTGCTGCTGATGTAAGAGGGATCTTATCTGGCGTTGTCTTAGTCCGTTATTCCGACCACTTGGATCTCTCAGAAACACCATGTCAGGCTGGATTTAAGGAAGAGAAAGTGTTGATGCTGAGGGTGGTGAAACTCTGGCACAGGGTTACCAGAGAAGCTGTGGGTGCCCCATCCCTGGAAGTGTCCAAGGCCAGGCGGGATGAGGCTTGGAGCAACCTGGTCTAGTGGAAGGTGTCCCTGCCCATGGCAAGGGGTGTGACTAGGTGACCTTTAAAGGTCCCTTCCAACCCAAACCACCCTGTGATCATAAACCAGATTGCATTTCAGTTGTGGGTAGAGTTGTCCGTGGTAGTTTCTAGCCTGGACATGAGAAGCAAAGCCAACGTTGCCTGGTGCTATGTTAGAAGGCTAAGAGATAGTTTGGGAAGGGGTGGAATTGTGCAGCTCCTTTCCCAGACAGCTGGAATTACGTTCCTCTTTAGGACCTGGTAAAAAGGAAGAGGTTGTGTAGTGTTACTCGGTAAACCTGTGCTGTGTCTTCTGATAAGGGAAGGTTGAGACAGAGCAGTAGAACAACAGAGCTGTCGCTCTGAGTGTGTGTTAGAGAGCGAGAAACCCCAAACTACGGCAGCGAACTAAGCAGCCTGCCTACTGCGGCATGATTGTTACTGCAGATTCTTCTTCCTTCCTTTTCCCAGACTTCGGAAAGTGCTTATTTCTGTCCTGTTTTCCTTTTGTAGCTGTTGAGAGAGGAGCTGCTGAGCTGTGGGACAGTCCTTCAAATATCTGATTTACCAGACGACGGCTTTTCCGATCAAGATATTAAAAAAATCGTTCAGCCCTTTGGCAAAGTTAGCGATCTCCTTGTGATTCGCTCGAGGAATGAGGTAAGCTTTCCCGTAGAATGTTGGTGTGTCAGAAGGCAACCAAAAAGTGTCGTATTTGGATCCGGAGCTGAGCATAGGATAAGGCTTCCTTAGCGGTTTGTCGTTAAAGAGCTTGGAATAGCTGGGAATCTTAACTTTATAAATGCAACCTTGCTTGCTGCTGGCATCTTAAATGTTAGAGGAAGTGGGATGCCTTTGGTATAATACTGAAATCCAAGCCTTTACATCAAATTCCACGTGAATTTAGAGAGGGAAGTCCATGCAGTGCTGTCTTGTGTCTGCAGTATGAATGAAAGCCCAACGTGCCATGTGTTTCAGGCCTTCTTGGAAATGAACTACAAAGAAGCCGTGATAGCAGCGGTGAAATACGCTGAAACTGTCCCCGTGCTGGTAAATGGCAAACAGGTGAAAATCAGTGTCGCCGAGAAGCCGAAACCACCTCCTGGCCAGGTGAGCGGGGAAGCTGGTGAGCGACGCGTGGCTGCCCGCGTGTCGCCTGGCGTTCTGCTCCGGAACTCGGTGTCCTGCGGAGAAAGACGTTTGGTAGCTTTTCAGTCTATTTTTAACTTCCCTTTCGTTTTTCAGTCTAAAATAAATACACTTTCTCATTCCAGTTTTCCATTTTTCTTGCCCAGATTTGATATTTGTGAATGGAATCAGCGTTAACAAACGCTGAAAGATACAACCGATATTAAGAGACATACGGAATTGCTATTAATAAAACTAATACCATTTTATCTGCATTTCTAAATAAAGAAGAAATGGTCCAGTAAAAGCTTTTCTTTCTGTCCATTCCAGGCCAAAATGAGTATTAAAAAACGGGCTCCGAGTATTAAAAAAGTTGCACCGAGCACAAGGTGAGTGTTGGCGTCACACGCGTTGGTGTTAGCTGTGGTGACTGGAAGCCGGATGGGTTCCTATCTGTTGGGGTTCTTGTGTTTTACTGTTGTAATATTCCTCATCATCTTTAAAACTGACTTTTCTTCATTTTTTCCCTCACAGCAGAAAGGATAAGACCACCTCTAAGACAATTAAACCCGCTACAAGTAAGGTTTTGTTTTCCTGTTGCCTGATGGTGTGTCTGTCACTGCCTTTCCCTCTTCCCGTTTCTTTTTACGCGAGTGCTTTTCACTACAGGGACTGCAGCAGGTTCAGAGCTACAAGACGACATCTCGTTTATACTTTCCCATGTTTTCGTGCAGCCCTGTCTGTCGATAAAACCCCAACCCTCACGTAGCAATAAAACCCCACCTTGCCCTGTGCGTCTTTGCTTGCCCCGTCCCATGAAGATGTGGCACTTGGGGCGCCATGCAATAACCCTAATTCCTCAAGTTACCTTTAAGCCCAATGTGTAGTGTATTTAATACCCTCTCAGGTGTGATTTTGGTGGGAAATTGTGCTTTTTAAGGCTCCCTGGGTCTCGAGTCGTCCCTCAGAGCGGGCTCTTCTGGATCCAGTTTGCAGCGTGGAGTTAAGGTTCACGCCACGATGCATTTCAGGGCTCACAGGTGGAAACCGTGAGCTGTTCACAGTTGTGAGAGAAACTCTTCTGCAAGGTTTCCTCGCCGGAATCCTGAACAGATTGACTCAAGATCATGACTTTCATTCCTTGGTTTGTCAGAGTTAACTTGGGTTTTAGGTTTGGGGATTTGTTTGTCATACCTGTTGAATTTTTGCACTTAAATGGGTTTTGTGTGAATTTTTATACTCCTACATCACCAAAGTAAGGTGTAAGAAGTGAGCACGTGGATGGACTGACTTGGTTCTGGCTCTTTTACGCAGGTAAAAAAGAGAAGACTAGGAAATCGTCGGCAACAGGAGATAGCAAAAGCAAGAAAACTTCAAATACTGCAGGTGAGACAAATTGGAGCTTTCATCCTTTCTGCGGAAGACACAGGCAGGTGCTTTTCTGTCTCCCTCCCCCTTTCCAGAACAGACGCAGCCCGAGCTTTTCGCACCCTTGGCTGCGCTCGCCGGTGTCGTAGATGTAGGTTCTTCCGCCTCGTGGCTAGGCTGAG